ATATATATATATATATATATATATATATATATATATATATATATATATATATACAGCCGCAGTATTCTAAGAGTTGAAACACTTGCTATGTCTAACGAAATCTGTTATGTTTCTGGCGGAATTTGTTATGTTCCTCGTGCCTGTTAACTTAATCTGGTCTGGTTATTCCAATGAAATTGACCAATCGCATCTGTCAATTCTGACTAACGAGGAATGCGATTGGTCAATTCTGTTGGAATAATCAGCCGGTTAAGTTAATCAAAGTTGGTAGAAACGGGCATTGGCAAGATAAGCCGTACTGACAATCATTCCTGGATTATTAAAACATAGTAAAATTGAAAACAATTTATATGAAAAAAAAAAAAACTATAATATTCTCTCCAGGTAAAAAACTTATATTGAGTCTTCTATCAGGGTGCGCTAGTAGTCGGGCATCAATGATGCCGAGCGTCTACTCGTTTTCGCAAGGGAGTCAAGAAATATAACGCCTATATCAGACTATGAATTGAGACTTGCAGTCAGATCAATCAGTCAATCTGCATCTCGGTGTGTTCTGCTTTACTTAACTGGTCCGATGCTTCAATACATAGTCCGATACGGGCATGACACGGTACAGTTAAGAGAAACAGCGTTCTGGCCTATCGATTCGCCATCCCTTTCTAGAACGCAACTTCACCTATAAGGGCTTGTGTCCACAATCGAAATCGGCCCGAGATTTAGATCCGAGAAAAAAGCAACCAATCCATTTACAGCTTTTACAGAAAGGCGACAATTTTATTGGTTACACGTTTCTCGGATCGAAATCTCGGACCGATTTCTAGCATCGTGGACACAAGCCCTAACACAAACGGGAAAGGAGCATTGACTCGACCAAGGTCAGCCCTATCGAGAGTCGATGGAAAGTCGGCTCTATCGATCATCGAGAATCGAGACCGCGTTCGATACTGCGAATACGAAGGACAAGATCGCGCGGGTGAATTTGACGAAGGCCGTCATGTCTTGATAATTGAAATTTAACCTAAAAATTTCTATGTTTGAATAGCATCCATACAATTTACATCTATTTATCCATCTATAAACGAATATTAATGTTGGAGGAGACATCTTATAGACGCCCGAGATAATATATTGAATGAGAGAAAGAAAGAGAGAAAAAAGATCGCGACTCTTTAATAAAAAGGCACGCGTCTTTGTTTACCAAACTATTTCGCCATAATTTCGACCGATTTATCAATCGCCACACGCGAGGCCTCATCCGAGCCCGATCTGCAGCTAAATGAAACAGCAGTTTGCGGAAAGATAACGCATGCGTGTGCGTCGTTTGTTCCGCGTTCGGCGACACGCTCTAGAAATCGACCCTCTCACACGCTCCCTCATTCGCTCGTTCGCCGCGATATCAGCTGATTGCTGCCATCTCCCTCCTCTCGATCCAACAGCGGCACTCCATTCGACGCAGTAAGCCGCGCACTCATCGTGGCACTGATCAGAGCGCGCGAGTGAGCGCTCCTGCTAGATAGATAATAGTATCGCTCGCGTTGTCTTTTCGCATTGTCAACAAAGTATCCGACGCGTCGGGACGAGAGGAAGTGTCATCGGTTCGCGGCACCACCGTTGCTCTCATGGCAGATCATGAAATCGTTCAGGCAAAAAGGTAAGAAGTCTACAATCATCGCTCCCTGATTTACATGATTGCGATTTCGTGTCAAATGCGATTTGCCGCTTTTTCTGCATGATTTTCATCGCGATTGTCGCGCAGTCATCGAGGTTACGTCATGTATCAGAGTCGTACGTATCCACGAGATTTGCGCGCAGTTGTGTTCATCTCGACGAAGGATCGTCGCAGGAGAGCCAGCGAAAATCGGCCGAATCGCGTGCCACAGTTTACACGCAGCAAATTCGCCCAACGATAGATCGATCGTGGGTCGCGATTAGGGGATCTGGCTCGTTCGCGCGAATCAAGGCCGCTTCACTACCATTGTCTGAGTTTCACGTGACGTCGAGCCGCGCGTGCAATGGAGATTGACGGTGAGCGCGGTCAGATGAGTGGTAATTGGCTGTCTATGATCTAACGGCTAATAATATCTATCGCGCAGTACACATATTTAAGTGAGCGCAAAAGTATGACTTGACAAATCCCGTGTAACCCAAACGTTCATTTCGTGCATGTCGCTTCTGTTAATATAAACTGGATTCAGCTGTCAAGTGGAAACTGCGCACCGAATATATTGAGAAAATAATCCCTTGTCACACAGCAGCAGCTGGCTCTGGGGATGGTTTAGCTGGTCTATGGCATCTTCGACCATGTTACGTGCGGCGGAAAAGAAAATTCTCTCATGTACGTGAGATATAATTAATCAGTTAAATCTAGGTTTAAGACTAAGATTTGTATTCATACGCTGAATGAAATATAGGCCTAAAGACGGCATACAGAGGATGGTATGTTGATATTGGACCAGTAGTAGGTACAGCTGACAAAATATGGACCATTTCATTAAACGAAGAGTCGTCAAAAACCCCGATTGTTCTGTTGCACGGTTTAGCATCTGGTGTAGCATTGTGGTGTATGAATTTGGATGCGCTAGCAATTCATAGGCCAGTATATGCCATAGATATACTAGGTAAGAGATACATGTCTCACAAGTCAATTAGAATAACTGATAATTAATTTTATATGTGATTTTATATCTAATACATAATATCTAGTCATAATAGTCTAGTATTGATGCAACGTAATCTTGCAGTTCCAATGTCCTCTGTTTTTTGTGATCATCCACTCAAGTGCATGACTCATGCCAACATGACTGATTGACTGAACTTTGTAGTCACATATAAATGTATCTGGCTCAATGATGAGTTTGACATTTTTGTATAGTAATCTTGATTGTTCCAGAAGAATGATGCAAGATTTATACTTTGGCACAATAGAAGACTATTTTTCTACTGTTATTATGCACATTATATATACATATATACATATATGTGTATTAATAACTAAATCTGAATTGCTTTGTTCTCAGGATTTGGCAGAAGCAGTAGACCTACTTTTAGCAATAAAGCGCAAGAAGCTGAAAATCAACTTGTGCTTTCTGTGGAGGAATGGAGAAGAGAGATGCAACTAGAAAAATTTATATTACTGGGCCACTCGATGGGTGGCTTTCTTGCTGCATCTTATGCTATGCAGTATCCTCAAAGAGTTAAACATCTCATATTGGCCGACCCATGGGGTTTTCCTGAGAAACCACCCGATGCTGCTGCACGTGTGCATATACCATTTTGGGTGAAAGCTATAGCATTTGCGGTACAACCTTTAAATCCTTTATGGGCAGTTAGATTTGCTGGACCATTTGGTTAGTATTGCTGTGTGTGTATACGCACGCATATATATTTTATTATTGTGTGCATATTCTATTCTATCACAGGACAATGGCTCATTGAAAAAACAAGACCGGATATAGTAAAGAAGTTCTCTCCCTTATTAGACGATACTACTGTGATTTCGCAATATATTCATCAATGCAACGCACAGACACCATCGTAAGTTTTCGAAGCACAAACATCTCAATATAATTTTGTATATCATCATACTGTAATACAACGTTATATTTGATTAATAGCGGAGAAGGCGCATTTCACGCTATGATGCGAAGTTTCGGATGGGCCAAAAATCCTATCGTCAAACGGATGGATAATTTAAGCAATGATATACCCATTACTTTACTTTACGGAAGTAGATCGTGGGTTGACAATACAACCGGCGAGACAATTAAGGAAGCTCGGCCGTCGTCGTACGTTAACGTTCAGGTGCGTGAAATGAGTAGCTATTGAAGCTAATCGAATCTTTATTATTTAAAAAAAATGACTCTTATCTAGACTAACTTATCTAGAAAAGACTAGAAAAAAATGGAACAATTATTTTATAGGTAATTACTGGTGCTGGTCATCATGTGTACGCGGACAAAAGTGAAACCTTTAATAAATATGTATCGGAAGCGTGTGCACTAAGTGACTTGATGCCTCAATTAACGTCGTCGAATTCACATTCATACCCGAAAGTCATAAATGATCAAGAAATTATAACTCTCAACGAAACACTTGAAACACAAAGGCTACAAGAACAAGATCTAGAAACTTCTAGACCAAGATCTAGTTGAAATCTAGCGTAATATATTTTTATAAAACAGGTTGTGATTCTGTTGGCTGGTACAAAAAGTGACATACCTTACGTACGTACGATAACATAGTCGAGAATTTCGCGCAATATACTAAATATGTGTAGGGATACGCGTTTTTAATTCTGCGTTTCTACCACAACGCAATAAGATATTATATAATCTAATAACATGACGGGCACTGGTTTTATGTGATAATTGATTGTAGATAAATGCACCAGAGAACTTGCAAAAATTGATTTTATTTCTTCAAATCATGGAAATTATAACGATGTATCACTGCAAATGCGCGAAAAGTAGTTAGAGTAATAGGATATGATCTTGCCATAATCGTAACTCATTTGTATCCTATATAATTAACGATTAATACACAGGATATCTGTGATGCAAAGCTATTATGCAGCGCATGTACACGTGTGGACGTACGCATTGCATCAGACACCTTGTACAATCGGCTAAGAAATGAAAGCCAAAAAAATCAAGAGCTTTTACCAAGTGCAAAGTAATTATATGATAGTTTGTATATTATATGTACAGTTTTAATTTTATTAATACAAATTATATTGATGGTCAGAAACTAGTGATTGTACAATGTTTTTGTTAATAATTGATTATGTCACACGTATTCATTCGCGACGCGCGCACATGCACGATGCAAGAACTTGTGTATATTGCTTCAATATAGTTCACTAATAATAAATTATTTATTATACGTATATAAAAAATCAGTTTTTTTAGTATTATATTTATATTGAACAATAAATTTATTTCAAGAAAGATCTTCCGAAGATCATTACCTCTTATGCTCGAAGTCGTCATAAGCAGTCATGTGTTCATCTTCAAAGTCATATTTGTTATTGTTATCTTCTTCCTCGCAATCCATTTCTTCTTCAGAATAATCCAACTGCTGATTGCGCGGTTGTCTCGCACGATACTTGCGTTTTTCTTCTAACTGTCTTTTCTTGAGGAAATCTCTGAAAAGCTCTCTTTGTTCACTCTTTGTCAAGAATTCGGCAACTTGATCAGAAACAACATCACATGGATTCTTATCTGTATTAGAATCCATATCCAACATCCTTCTTTGTGTAGCTGTTCTTGATTTAAACATTGAGATAGTGATCTGCAAGAGTAAAATAGAAATATTTTCCATACTTTTATTTCTTAATATGACAAGACAAAGATAATTAAGCATAAGATAAAAAAATTACCTGAGTCATAATTTTAGAATGATCTAATCCTAGTACATCTTGTCTCATGACTGGTAATTTTATGTCAGGTTCTGATTCAGAATCATTACTTATTATTGAGTCTTCATGTGAAGCTTGATCAATATGTGATGTAGCTAATTCCATTTGTTCAGAATATGACAAAATTTCAAAGTCTTTGATATCAGATTCTATCGCTACAAATCTTTTTTTTATCTCATTTTGTGTTAAATTTTTCTTGTTTTCCACAAACTGGATAAGAGGCACCACACCTATGACCCTAAGCTGTGATAATTCATGTCGAATAATCCAGCCACACTTCTGCAACGCTTCCTGGCTAATAGGTGTGTCACTAGTAGGATTCCAAAATACATTGACACGTGTGAAATCTGGAGTTATTTCCACATGAGTAATTTCAATGGTTCCATTAATAATGTTGGATGCTGCTCCCATTGATATTTGGTCTGTTATATGCTCCATAAAAAGTTTATTCCGTATAGTCATTCTGCGTACTGTATGATTAGATGGTGATCTGGCTGACTTAGACAACTCCATGGGGTTATGAAAACTTGTGCTGTGATCGTACCATTTTCTATAATGTGATAATGCAAAAATATTTAGCAAAAAATTGTCATTTTTCGAATCCTTAACTTGTCTTTAACTTGTGTCAGGATTTATCTTACTTCTTTGATTTATTACCCTTCTGCATAATCTTCATCATAAATCTACCTTCTCTAGAGAAAGTACAATTCACGCTGGACGAACTGATATATCTATATATTTGCACACATGTGAGAAGAGCACGTGCACCTTGCATTTTGACTAATAATATACGATTGATCTCAACAATCGAAATGTCACATAACACTCATATAGAGGTTAAGCGGCCGTGCGAAAATACACAAAGTGCTGTTCACTTGTCCTCTTTACCTGAACTTTCTGTACTAATGTAGAAAATATATGCTAAAACACTTTTTCTTTTTTAGCAAAAGGTTTAAGAAAGTTGTAATTTTAAGTTAATAAAAAAATATAAGTTTAACATATAGACATATAAAGCATTTTTTTACGTATGAAAATTAAAGGATCATTTTCCTTCATTCTCTCAAACTATAATTTTTGTTAAAATGATAATAATAATATCGTTCATTTTATAGTTTGAAGGTTTCAATTTATAGATATTTCGCGAGTATAAAGCTGTGGGTCCAACAGTCTGTAAACATATCCGTATCCGTAATCATAAACAAAATCGAGTCGTGATTGGTTGTGATATATATTAAGCTGGCCACACTCACTTTTCGTAAAAAGGCCAAATTACACTAACGATTGGCGATTGACGATTAACGATTAAAGATTAGATTTTAACGAATCAACAAGCTTCAGCCTTGGCTTGCTTTGTTCCTATTGATCAAGTTCCAATCTTCAATCATTAATCATCTATCGCCAATCGTGTGATTTGGCCTTAAGACGTAACGTAAGAATTGACCAATCATGTTGAGAACCGTCGAATCAAAAGGTCGCCATTTTTATAAATATTCGATCGCAATTGGTCAATTCTTATGTTACGTCTTACGGTTACTGTCTTTGACTATATAACAATGGACCGCTAGCCGCTATCTTATGTCTGCAGCAAAACGTCTGTCAATATCTGCAGCGCTGCCAGGATCAAACAACGGCTATTACGTAAACTATCACATACCTGTGATTTCTATTTTACCATGTAAAAGATATTTTGTGTGTGTGTCCATGACCATAAATTGCAGTTATCATTAAAATACATGAAAAATTATTATGATATTTCTTTAATCGTCAATAACAGACTTTTTCATTTTTTCTTCAAATAAATTATTACATTAAAAAAAAGTTATACAACTTTGCTATAATATAAAAATCAACAATTTTTAAAGTAACAAGAAAAAAAATCTGATTTGCAAGGAAAATATAAAAACACAAAATAAGATATTTATATAACTTCATACCAAATTTGTATTTATTATATTACATAAGAATATGCAATATTTATATAATATATTAATATAATAAGAGATATAATATATATATATATATATATATATATATATATATATATATATATATATATATA